TAGGATTCATGACTTTCTTTAATAATACAATACAACAGAAAAGCAACCACGGAATGTGAAGCGAATTTTGAGGCACATACAGCTCCTCCAAGCGCATGGAAGCCCACTGGGAAGGTATTGTGCCAGTGAGGCAGTTCCGACTCAGGTCCCTTCAGAAGCACACAAGTTCAATGCTACGTTAAAGACTTGATAGATCATCACGTTCATCTCAGACTGTTCGAAGAGAAACAGAACAGTGGGTCATGGCGTTTACTCACAGCGACTTGAGGTAGTGAAGCTTGGAGAACTCCGGCGGGACAGTTCCAGACAGATTCTGCGCCTTCAGAGCTCTGCATCAGCGTCCGCATGGGCGGGTCAGTTTCAGATCATATCAAATCAATCCTTGATAACTTTCAAAATAGTCATCAATGACACTCCAGTGTGACTGTGTACGGGACCGTCAAACAATTCCGAATCTTTGCCCAAGTCGCAAGCAAGTTCGGTTCTTGCAATGGCATTTGACGCGATAACATAGAGAACATTGTCAATGAATTCAGAGAGAGAGAGAGAGAGAGAGAGAGAGACATGGTGACGACGTGGCAAGTGGTACTGTGGTTGAAGGAGCAATCGCAAGTGACATTGCTCTCGAGCCCTGTTTTTGCACCGGCACCACCATCATCATCGACATCATCAGGATGCTCGACCCAATTGCCACGGCCACTGCACGGGTCTTCCTCGAAGTCCCAGTCCGTCTTGCCCAGTTTCCTGCCTATCTCTCTCAATGCCTTCACTGCAAAGTGCAAACCGACGAACACAGCCCACTCTATTTACTTAGTAACTCTGAATTTCACTTCCAATGCTGCTTCTACCTTCTTTAGCAACTAAAAAGCAAGGAAGGGAGGCACAATCGACTTTGTTACCTTCCGTTGCGTGGAGCTTCGCCGCGTCCGAAATTGCCGAGGTCGAAGGCAAGTATAATTCCACCAAACAGATGGAACATGCAAGAATCAGCAGCTTAGGAGGCCCCAAGCCAGCACCCATTTGAAGTGCCTGCCTATATATTTGTCTGTTTCAGCTCAAGCTCTCTGTATGTATCCAATTAACCTCTCTATGCTAGAGAGAGAGACAGAGAGACAGAGAGTGAAGATCGATGGAATCTATCGGAAGATGTTTAAATAGACGAAATAATCGTACTGTCTAGGACCACGTGATTTGCTTGCTCTGCCAATAAGATCAAACGAGAAAATGAAACTAAACATTGACGTTACAGGAGATGTGGACCCACGAATTTTGGAATGTTTCTGCATATATGAACACATGCATATATATTAAATATACAACTTCGAAAAAGATGCGCTCGTCGTTCAAAGGATGAGATATGATTTGTGTCCTGTGGATGATGTCGATGGCTCTGCGGCGTAGTGGAGTTGACTGGATAAAATTTCCGGGCAGCTGTATTGTGACTTTCAACGTAAGCGATTCCAAAAGTTTTGACCATTGAAAGCAACTGCACTCTCTATGAACTGCTGTGAGCTTGATCTTCCATTGAGTATGAGAAATGGGAGCAACTCCAACTCTATGAGTAAGCAAAGGCCTCCGCATGAGATTCAGTCGAGATCGGGCATATCATCGTCATTTTTACTTTGAATCAAGCGAAAACAGTAGAGTTCGACCAGAAGCGCTTGTTCTAGGAATAAAGCCATTAAGCTGGTTACCGCTTGTTGTCGCGACTTATTCGACGAGAGATCGGTTTTGCCAGTGTGCATCGAAGAGCGGCAATGATATGAAACTAATTCCACAGCCATTCATCTGAATAGACCAAAGGGGAAAAGAAAGCATTAGGCCCAACAGCCATGAGATGCTTTCTTTCCTTAGTTGCAGCCAGCCTCGATTATATATATTAAATCTTGGAATGGGATTTCTCTATGGGATGAGCATTTGTATTGACCTAAAGTGGATCGATCCTTAATACTATCCCTGTGCTCTTCGACAGATGACGAGCGACCAACTGCGCTGCTAAATGGAGTATTGAAGTTTAGAGCTGAGCAATGCATTGATGAGTGATTCCACAGTCAAAGTCCACGCCTGATGAAGGACTCTTAAATTCTTATGCATGATTCATTAAGTACTCTGTGGGTCCTCCACATAATGATTTTTTTTCCTCATACATAAAGAAAAGTAACGCAAAATGTCACCTTACATATCCTCCAATAACCACGCGTTTTGGAGCAGTACATGCACCAGCTGCATTGAGAGCGAAAGGTTGGAGAGAGTTCATATACTTTTCTCCTTCCCTGTTGTTCTTGTCTTCTCTTGTTTTGTTTACTGCTGAAGTTGCGAACCTGTGAAACCGGGAGAGACTGTCTTACCCTTTTTCACGATCCTCGAAAACAATTAAGAGGGAAAGAGCGGTGAAGGATTAAAGAGCCATAACGCGTGATGCGCTGATTTAGTGAAGATTGGAGTGCCATACTTGGTTCATTCGCTATGCGGTGTCTTGGGAGGTGCATGACAAAACCTCGTCAAATAACACAACGTTGCTATTTAACGACTCCCGAGCTTAAGGGTCGCGTTATAGCGAGGATATGACACGACATTACACAACTCACGATCCATCCACTTGATTAAACGATCCACAAGAACAATCATTCACCAGAATGACATAAAGAGAAAGATAATCATGTGGATGCATGGATCCAATAAGAGGAAAAACCAGAGGACGAGCTCTAAGAACGTGTGGGGACGCATGGAAAGTAATTAAAGAGGCGGCTTGGTGCACTTGGAAAACGCGTGGGTTTAGGTAGAAGTCTTCCTCATGCAGACAAAATTGGATGGTCCATCTTTCTGTCTGAATCTTTTTTGATGATGGTGATAATGTTTTCTTCCCCCAGAGTACGAGACAGAGAGAGAGAGGAACCTTCCATGCATGCTCCTGCCAAGTTGTCTTTTAGACACACACAGACACACAAATCATTCACTTGCAAGCTGGCATTCAAACGTATCTGGTCCAAGAAAATCTGAACCCAAGTAGATTAGTCTCGGCTAGTGGCCAGTCATTTCACTAGCATGATATGATTGTTGTGTAGAAAGCAAGATAAATCATAAAAGAGGAAGTGTTTTTGTTCCCTTTTTCACAGTATGCATGTCAATCTCATATCCATTGAGAAATTAATCTCCTCTTTTGGTTCCATACATGATGATCTAACTTAATCTGAATAGGTCCTTAAAAGACTTGAGGAAAGGCAGAAAAAAAAGGAGTTTCCCTGTAAGTTCTCTCCGTATGTTTTTCTCTATTGGAAAGAAAAAGATTAGGAAGGAACTGAGAGGACCTACAGGTGGAGAAGGTAAACTCCACGTCAGTTTCGGTTGGTTACCGCTGAATTAGTACTTATAGTAGTTTCTCGCGCCTGGGGTGATGTAGAGGAGCTTCGGCTCTTGCTTGATTGGCATATGCTTCGTACAGTGTCTTGCAACCGACTCGCCAATCAAGTGCCCCTGGTTGCAAGACACTATAGGTTGCTTAGTGTCTGTACGTAAATATCAGTGGCTGATTATTCTCTATCTTATGTCTATCTTACTAGCATGACTCAAGGATTCCGTCTAGTATTGATGAACTTTTGGTTGCCGTAAGAAGGGGATAATGTCATCTTCATCCTTTTGGTGGAGGAGACTATTTTTATTGAAAAAATTATTCAAAAAGTCTTAAACTTTTTATAGGGTGGCCAATTTAGTCCTCAATCTTTCAATTGTGTAGGTCTTAAACCTTTTGACGATTTGTCAATGTAGTTCTTTCGGCCAATTATCAAAAAATAGATTTAGGATTGAAGTGACAATTTTCGAAAGGCTTAGGATTAAATTGATACGACCGAAAGGTTGAGGACTAAATTGGCAAATCTTCAAAAGGTTTAATACTGAATTAGCACATTTGAAATGTTTAGGACTGAATCGGTAGTCGTACAATAGGTTTAGCACTTTTTGGACAATTATCTCTACTTCTATTACAACCACGTATTTAAGCGATGTGGGATTATAGTTAACAATATGCATGGTCCCTAGACCTCTAAAAGAAATGCTCATTGTCCCGACTATGAATGGTACCCGACAATTGAATTCGTAGAAAGGAAGTCGATTTCCCCAAAAATATTTCCATTACCAATGAATCTATGTCGTTCTTGGTATAGTGTATTTTTGTCCAGTATTACATTATTGGGGGTGTCCAAGATACGTATGTTTCTTCGTCACAGAAGGTAATTGAAACAAGAAGTAAAAATTCCCAAGAAGCGATGCTAAAGTCTAAGATTTTAATTGGAAATGCATGTTCTTGCGTCATATTCTTTTTCTTTTGGTCCAAATGTTCTGCTTCATATTCACTATGATGAAACATGTTTAAAATCAAACGTGTGCCGTACCATGAGACAATGCAACTTCACGTGAGTTGGTTTGACTGGTGTGGCGCTCTAACTTTGGTCATCGTGGAATTTTTTTGTCGGTAGAATATGTCATCTGTCACGGTGATAAATTATTACGCTAATATATTCTTTCTAATAAGTACATTGATTCTTCTAGCAAAAAAAAATAAAAAAAGGGTGTGTCGATTTATTGAAATTATTTGTGCCGAACTGTTATTAGGCACTCAAAAGTGCAAAATGGGAAAAGGGTGACGCTATTTTCACTCTGTACGATTCATTAAAGAGATAACTATATCGTTAGAGTTAAACATCACACGTCGCACTTCAATGAGCTTCCGATTCTCTACTCAAATATGAGATCACCTCTACCATTTATATCTAGTGGGGTTTCTCTTTTACAATTCAATTTTGTATCGCCAACCGTTGGTACTTTCCAAGTCTCGTTTTGAATATATGTAAATCCAATCTCGATAGATGTGACCCGCATCTATAACAATTCAAGAAAACAAATCTAATCGTCGAAAGTTGTTAAGAAACGATCAAATAGACTATGTTGCTTCTTTATGAATCATTCTAAAAGAACGGGCGAAAATCATCCACTGAGCGACTGAATTAATTTTGAATGAGAAATGCATACAGAAGCAAGTTCCAAGTATCAGGGACCCCGGGGAGACACCAGTGGCTGCAATCTATGACTTTGGGTCCTCCATACCCAAAACCACCTATATGCCCGTCTTTCCTTAATGCCGAGAGCATCGTGATGTTGAGCAACTGGACCGGCCTCGACATTCTGCGCAGCACCTTCTCCACGACGGCCTCCGCTGGGTTCGTACCTCCCGAGTAGCTCGACCCGTGTAGCGGCTGGGTCTGCGCTCGACAATCCTTCGCTCTCGAGTCCCCCCACTCTCTCGAACTGTCACATATCAACATCAACAGTCATTAATCCAAAGCATGACTACCTAGCTAGGTTTGACAAGCCGGAAGTTTCGACAGGGCTTCCTGATGAACTTTTAGCCGATCAGCCTCAATATGCTGCTGTCATCTAATTTCCTTTTATGGCAGAGCATATCTTGATCTACCGATGGAAGATGTTATGACACTTATGAATATGAATTGGTGCTGGATGTTTCCCTTACATTCGCTCTAACAATGCAACACGTATGAAATCAATCGGGGGCTTCATAAATGCACGAACTTACTCGGTGTGAGCTGGCGAGACACCTTGGAAGAAGACTTTGGTGGCCTTGGGATCTACATTCAAGCCTACCCATTTCGCCCATGTAGTCAACCCCTTCTCGAAAGCCACGAACCGATTCATGTCCGTATAAATACCATTCTCGTCTTGAACAAAATCCCATCTGTCACATCAAGGAGACCATATGATTAGTGCAACTTTCAATGGGCTAAAGCATGCTCAAATCAAACAATGTCCAATGCAATCAACTGAACTTTAAGATAATGACACAAATGGTCTCTAAACGTGAATCTTAAAATTTTAATTTATTTAATATGATCCATGAACTTTTAATACATATTTAAACTAGTCCTTAAATTATATGAAAATATTTAATGTTGCCCCTTAATTTAAATTAATGGAATGACAATATTAAACGTTTTCATATAGTTCAGAGGCTGGTTTGAACATGTATCAAAAGTACTAGGACCATATTGAACAAATTAAAAGTTCAGGGACCACATTGCACGATGGACCAGAGTTCATGGACCATCCATATCATTTTCCTTTGGACTTTCGAAACTCGATTTAGGAATCATATCTGTCTTGTCACTGAGAATACTGATGGAAGGCTTACATTTGTTGACTCCCCTTGTGGGTCCACCAGTGCCACGTGTTGAAGACCAATACGTCCATCCCTCTCCACAAGCTCCCGCCACTGATCGAGTTCAGTTCTAAGACCCACCCGTTTTTCTCCTTCGCAACGTCCACTAAGAATGCACTCCGGTGCAGTATGACGGAGACGTTGTACGCCTGCATAACCATGTTGTGGTTATAAAGAATGTAAGAGATTGCCTCGTAATTGGAATTTGTGTCATGCTTTTATGACCGTGAATCTTGGGATATATGCTCGCTTTTACAGTTCCAAGTGCAACGAATTAATGACCACGTGAATATATTTCGTGCAGGACACAGACCGGTGGCAATCCTATTAATGATCGAATTTCGTATTATGAGAACTCTGTCAACCAAGCCAATCTGATTCTCTTGGATAACATGTCCCACGACATGTCTAAGAGTTTTACTGATGTGAACTACATTGAATGAGATTGAAAAAAATAGGAGTTGGTCTAATAAGGTGAGATATAAATGTTATTAATTTGTCTAATATGAGACTGATAAGTGTGGGCCGAGTAAAGTCCAGCTTGTAATGAGAGGGCCTATGGCTGAAACTCTATGAATAGTGCTTAAGTCTCTTCTCCAACCTTGATGCACAAATAACCGCACATAGAAACAATTATGGAATGAAACTAGTGAAAGACGATAAGAATAATGGATTTCAAGTCATGTGCACAAATCCTTATTCCTCGATTACCGTGTTCTAGTTTTTTACTATAGAGATCTCGGGGTGCCGTTTTTCGTGGCTTACAATGTGGTGATAACATTACTTAACTCCACATACTAGCGAAATTGCTGCCAAGAAACCCTAGCTTGACTCCTCATTAATGCAAGTATCAATCGATTGACAAGGACAGACCAAGTAGGCATCCAAGGAGTTCTAGCTGAAATAAATCTCCGTCACATGGCTTTGTAACGTAGGAAAAGATGAGTGTGGCAATATTGCAAATGACCAGAGACAAGACCTTCACTAGATGTCATGAGGACGAGGAGATAATGAGTGTATTAACACCACCGCGAAACACTATTTTGTAAGCTAGACATGAAAAACGGAGGAATGAGATTGTTAAGACATGACGAACCAAGAATAGCGAGGCCGGCACAAGTTCAATGTAAGGATCTCCAAAGTGGAATGATCGAGCAAAAGTAAAGAGATGACCGCGAAAGAGGGGTTTTCTGATTACCGGGAATGTTAGAGTGGAGAGATCTGCCGTTCTAGAGAAGGCGTATTTTGCCTTGGGGACATAGGCATGAAGCATGCACGTAAGCGACTGCCATTGATTCAGGCTGATCGAGTCCCCTACAAACATGATGCGCTTCCCTCTGAACTTCTTCAAGAACTTTCTCCCACTAAACCTGCATCAAAACCATGAACTTTAATTCAGACCAAACAAATCATGTTTCCAGACTAATATATTCCGTCATCGTTTATTGCTAATTGAAGGGCTAATCTGAGAACTCGATGCAACTGGGTATATATCATATAAATACCGGAAAATTCGGACAAAAGAGCGAGGAGATTTACGAAATGAAACCAGCATTGTTGATGATTAATGAGAATATATACCTAGGCAAGTTGCAGGAAGAAGGTTGCCATCTGTACTTGAGGTAGGACAGGTCGGGTCGGCCGTTCTTCTGGCAATCGAACGCCCGCTCGAGGAAAGGGCAGTCGGACGAATTGTAAAGAGGATAAGAGGAATCATACACCCACCTCCCTTGGAACACATCACACCCTGTCTTCTGATCTTTCTTACTCTCCACATTGTCATGAACATCAGCATCTTCACCCTGCACTCCCTGCAGTACGAAGATGAGCAGAGCCCAAGTTATACGAAACGAAGCTTCCATGCATGCATGCATTGAACAGTGTCCTCGTGCAGGTCCCAGAAGCCACAAGTGCAAGAGAAGAAGACAAGTGAATGGCCAGAATTGAAAGAGAAAGAGGAAGTTATATAGGAGAAGAGACGTGTGTTTCTACTGTTGTGAGATGGAGTGGAGATTTACTGAACAGATTATACAGATTTTTAGGTGGACATTTGAATAATATTAGTCGCATTCAACAGTGTCACCAGCACGAGTTTTGTCATATATCATCAATTTATTATCATTTTTTTTTCTTTAAGCTGTCGGTGCGCTTAACAAAAACCTACTCGTGACCACGTTGTAGTCATTCATGGCTGCTAATTGACTGTCTTTCTTAAAATCCCCTAAAAAGGACAGTTCGTCCTTAGATCGTGCTTAAGCAAGTTTTAAGAAGGGAATCTGACGCTGAAGATGAAGGCGGGAAGCAACCGCAATCCCAATAAGATCATTTATTACCAGAGTCTTAAACAAGTTTTGTTGTCTCCTTTGCCAATAATTATGAATAATTATGAGACGGTCGCTACTCCCTCTGGACAGTAAATAGAATCTCAGATCTGAGGGCGAATTTCGCTCACCAGGAAGATATAAAGAAACCGTACCGTGATGAAGTTTCATACTTTAATTGAAATCATCAAAAATCTCAAATCAGTACATATATATCACATTTATCTCAAATTAATTTTCGTATCACAAAAAAATTCAAGCTGTTATACTCGTGTCGCATTTATCCCATACTAATTTTTGTGTAAAAAAAATTCTAAACCGGTACACACATGTCATATGTGTCACAAAAAATTAGAAATTTTAGTAGGTTTTTCTAACTTGAGAGAGCTCCTACAGCAAAATTAGCAAATTTTCCAATATAAGATTTTGGTGATTTGAGATTTTTTTGTGAGATGAAAAATTAGTTTAGAGTAAATGTGGCACTAGTGTACCAATTCGGGATTTTCAATGATACAAAAATTAGTTTGGGATAAATATGACATAGTAGTTTTTTGTGACATGAAAATCAGTTTGGAGTTAATGTGGCACAAGTAAACCAGTTTGAGAATTTTGGTAGAAAAATTATAAAAAAAGTCCTAAACATATTGTAGTTGTGCCAATTTGGTCATAAACCTTTCGATTATGCCAATTCAATTATAAACTTTTGAAAAATTGCCAATTTAGTCAATCTGGCCAATTTTGTAGGAAATTGTTAAGGCGAATGCCAACCGTTCTACGGGGCACGTCCGATACTGACATGGACAATTTTTGCAATTTTTTTATCATTTTTATTTTCATTCTTTTTCTTTTTCCACCTTCCTCCACTTGTCATCAACACTTGCCGACCCTCGCCTATGGCTTGTCGCGAGCCATCCCCGATGCCCAGCAACCACCTGTAAGAAAAACTATTTCTCTTCCACCGTGTCCAAAATGCTTACAATAGAACGAATTCTACGGAAGAGAGAAGTCGAAGTATAAGGCGATGACGCTTTTAATGAAAGAGAGAGATTCAAACTGACTCCATGATCCGAACATGCCAAATTATTTTTTCTTCTTTGGGCCATGTGGGTAACACAGAAGGGCCATAACATTAGGTAGGGGATCTTTCTCCGTACTTCCTCGTGTTTATGTTGATTTGGTTTTAAGCAACCAAATGGACAATGCTCACTTGGGTGTTTGGAGTATTTCATAAGGAATAATGCCTTGTGCTTGAAGAAATCTTATAAAAGCTCCCTTTATCGAGTCACACAGTAAACCCATGTTCCTCGTTCATGCCAAATTACCTAGGATCTGGGTTTCTCCATGAACTAATTCAATAATCAAAGTGAAGCAGGGTATCAGCGTACGTAGCACGCTCTTTAGGTGTTTTTTGTGCATTTGCTTTTTGTACCTGTTTGGTTCCTGACTCCTGAAAACCAAATCTTCTGTATATGGACCACCTAATGGTAAAGAAGAAGAAAGCAAGGGAGGAAGAAACACCAGAGACAGGGAGGATAACCTGTGTATATCGAGCACTTGATTGGAATTATAGGGAGATAGCTCATGTATCGTACATTTTGAAGTAATTAGGCATTTAACAGCAACAGAATGACGCGGTGATACAAGAAGCTTACAGAGTGCTAGCAAATTTTCTATTATATACTCGAAGAGCATGTGTAGAAGGTTGTCCAATATTGGCAACTCAGTATTGATAATGACGATATTGGCTACTCCGTATTGATAATGACGTAGTCATTTACTCTTCTAGATGCTGCTCTCTGGCTGTTTCTCAAAGCTTAGGAACAATGATCTGTAGAAATCCCTCCCTGCACCAAACCACCACAACCCATTAGATGATTGTTCTCCCAATGTATAAGAAATGTGAGATTGAGCATTCTCAATACAGAAAGAGATGAAGCAGATGTGAATAAACATGCTCAGTGAGTTTATGTCCAGGTATAAATGCCTAATGAAGCCGAACTAGCAGCCGAGAAAAGCACAAGTTGTTGACATGAACTGAGTGGCTGAATGCAGTTTATGCCAGGTGCAAAGGATCAAAAAATGATATCCAACTAATGCAGCAATTACATGTTCCTATGATCAAATCTTGATTCATACTTCAGGGTCACATGTACAACTACATTGAAGTGCGTTAGACTACCTCTCTCTGGTATGAGTAAAACTATTCTTTGACCTCTATACTCTTCATACTTTACCCTCAGAGAAGTGCAAGCATGAAATCACAACGAATGGTTGAGAATATAACTTACACAAACTCTGCTGAGACACTATCCTTGTTTACATTGGTGGGAAGCGGCCACGTGATCTGGTAGGGTCCTTGTGTGATCTCTCTCTTGTGATACGACATAATCGAGTCATTTGAAAAGCCAGATACTTTCCAAGCCTGACGCATTCCCGTCACAGTCAATCTGTTTGATCAAAACAGTTATTACTTATTGGGACTCAAAATTCTGTATGCCTATTAAATATCTCATTCGTCTATCTGCAACAGACTTGGCCTTATCTTGCTCTAGCAAACAGGACAAAAGTTAAGTTCTACTCGTGCTTCATGAAACGGGAAAATACTATCTTACTTTTGGTCACTGACTTCCACTCTGATATCCTTGCTGCTAACTCCAGGAACTTCCACAGTCAGAACATAATTGCGTTCTGATTCTACCACATCCATTCGTGGGGACCATTTAGCCCCTACATCAGTTAGAAAGAGAAGAAAGGTTATGCATATCCAATTCAAGAGCGAAAAAGCAAATTCTCCTATTTAAAGCCCATTTTTCTTGCTTCTAAATAACAGCATAGCTGATATTTAGCTGATAATAGCATAACTCCATTCACGACCAAAAAAAAAAAAATAACTGCATAGAATTTCATTAGATTCGAACCCATAGCTGATGATAGAACTAGAATAGATATTTTATGTTTCCTATATGGAGCTTATTGTTCAAACTATTATTACATATGTTGTGCGGCAACTTTTTGCATTCAGTTTTTTTCCAACTATGGCTTGAGTTTTGAAGATATAAATGAACGACATCTGGCACAACTAGAGAAATCTTTTCCTCGTCAATGGTAGCGATTTCTCTGTGAATGGGAACCTGTCCCAACAAAAAGCCGATTGTCATCTCCCCAGTTGATTTGCTCAAAGGATGCAGCGCAAGAGCAAGGGCCATTAGACAATTAATGAGCATCATTTAGTGCATACTGAATATCACGATGTTTTTATCTCCACCTCAACAAAAGGAAGAAAAAGTTAAGGAACAGTTATGGGTAGACACTCAACTAACCCCTGGAATTTGGAGGATGGACTTTCTTCTTCAAATTGGATTGCTTTTGTCTACTCATTCTTCTGTCTGGCTGAGCAAACCTAGGTGCTGGTTCCGCTGCAGTTAAGTTGCAACACTGTGCTGTAGGTTGTACTAAGCCAAAATTTGGCAGTTTTTGTCCAGTTCTTGAAGGCCTAGAAAATAATGGAGCCTCAAAAGCGTTGCTAGAGCCCTGACAAGTGCCAGGCTGAGTTGGTCTCACCTGCTGTTATTATTCCAATAGAAACAAAATTAGTAATTGGAATGCAAACATATATAAGTTCTGGGAAAGTGATGCGGGCAGTTTAAGCGGGCGAAGATACCTGATTTATTGAGGCCTGCCTCATGAAACTACCTTGCGAACTAGACCCTTGCCTTGCAAAATGCATTCTGTTGTCACATCTCCGGATCACAGAGTTTAAACTAGCACTGCAGTTCTGTGAAGAGAAAACGGATTGAACATCTTGAACAAAGAGAGAAAAGAGATCTTTTGAAACAACCTTACCCAAAACAGGAAACTAAAAGTAGAACTATAAAAACAATATATGTTTTTTTCGGTTTAGCATGCAGATATTAGTTCAATGCTTCTGAGATTAACTTCGAATTATGAGAGTATCGACTCAGCCTTTACATAGCAGAAGACTGTTGGTTAAATTATATTACAAGCGTTACTAATGTTAATAACTTACAGGGACTACAGGAGATAAGGTAAATAGTTATAGGAGAAGATGAAAGTAGCTCCAGTTTCATGGGATCCCCAGCACTACGTCTTCTCATGTAAAACTACATACTTGTCAAAGTTTTCTATTATATGCTTCTGTTTAGGATAAAAATAGCAACAAGCAAAGAAACTCTTATGATCAATTCACATTCATGACACCATAGACAAGTCGGTTGCGTCGTCTCAATTGTATAAGAGATCAAATGACCTAGAAACTTATCCCTATACAACTGAAAGTTCTACTGCATGGACCCAAATTGAAGAAGGCGATTGTTCCGTTACTCCTAATTTACTAAACTAAAATTGTGGCTCCAGCACCACCAATCAACATAAATGTCACTGTATCAATGATTTTGTCAGGTAGCATAGTTGGGCTCTTCTACAATCGAACTGTTCCACTAAACTGGTGAATCAAGATAATGGATCACAGCCTTATGATTGAAAACGATTCAAGTTCTTGCACGTTCAGGCATTTTGTGTTGGGATTTCGACAGACTGCGCCATGATTACAACGGGTCGTGATTGCAGAATGGGCATCTCGAGGGATCATAGGATCACCCAAGCTAGACAAAGAAACTTCCACGTTTTTCAATTCCCTCCCATGTTGTGTATTCAATTTTCTTAAAAGTAAAAATTTCTCCTCGAATGCCAACGACAGAGCAGCCACCTCCTTAATCTCTGGAAGCTCCATAAGTAAACAACGCACATCGACATAATTAAATACAACTTAAGAATTCGTCTTGGTCTATCAGCCTGTGAGTATTCTATGATGCCCGTGAGCCGCGCGTCCAATTTAACGCGGCAAATGCAACATGTGATCTTTGGCGATGCCAATTCCTTAATTCTTTACGCCTAAACTATCGGAACACGCCATCGTCAGGATTCACATGCGCCACAATTCCGATTACTTAAGCCCACGAAAAAGATTTGATAAAAGATTCGAGCTTTGCCTCAACGTGCCAACCAAGTTCCCTTCTTTTCTTATCAAATTAATTATTCTCAACAGCCCGAATGTAGGAGAATCGATTGCAGCTCTCACCAGAGGCACGACGTGGGCGGCGGCGGAGATCTCTTCGCCGGCGACGAAGTGGCCGGCGATCGTGCTGATCCTGCGCCTCGCGACTTGACCCTCCATTCCTCTCTCGCGCGCGCCTCAACGAAAGCCGGCAACTTTCCGAGCCGCGGGAGCTCAGGAATCTCGATCGCTTGCGATGACGATGACGAAGGCGACGACGGCGATCTTTGATAAAAAAGGGAGACGCTGTGGAGTGAGCTCCACATATTTTGCTCATGGCGGGGCGGGGGGAGGATGGGTGGGTGGGACCCATGGAGATGCAGATATCTGAGGAGCAGCAGAGATTTTCTCGAGAAAATATCAGTGCCAATGCGAAGCGGAGCAGATAAAACTTTCTCGTCCACGTGGCGGAAAAGCGGGCGCCTTCCTGTCCACGTGGGATTTGTCGGGACTCGTCCAGAAATTTTGTGGGGACTCGTCGGAAAAATTATTAGCACCCATGTTCGATTTGGGAAAAATCTAGATATTTCTCTTTCAAAAATCACCATATGTAAAGACTGAAGAGCGTGTTTATGTCCGTTTAATTTCTGCACTCCCGCCTTACACGTGCCGTCATGTCGTTTTAACGTGCATGCGCAATCCATCGTTCCCTCTTTCGCGACACGCCGAAAAGTCAAAAGTTTGATTTTCTAGAAGGCACGGTCCGAACAGAATTTTCAATCTACAATCGTTGCAACCCGTGCGAATCGAAGAGCTGAGTGGTCGAGGATTTCTTAAAGTATGACTTAAGAGCGTGAACGCATGGTCGATCCAACGTGAATTGTTCAAATTAAACGTAAACCGAGGAAGTTCACCGAGTCAACACGCCATCCTTGCACGATTAGAAACAAAAAACCAGAAGGGGGCTCACCTTTTACATGAAGAAAGACAGAGAAACAAATTAAAGTTCGAAGCTTTTAATCCTCGTGCCCTTCCTAACCCCGTTGAGCTTCTTAGGCCTTGACAAAATTACATCACGCAAGACAACACTAAACATTGAACAACAGGTACTTATTAAGCAACAAATATACTTAATTACTATTTTTTTTTCCTGTTTTTGCTTTCCCGTGCGCTTGACTTAAATTTCTAACTCCGTCGCCATCGAGCTGCCTTTATCCCGCCGCCGGTGTGGAAAATTCCACGACCGCGTCGGGCCCCCCCCCCCCTCGACCTCGACGGTCCATCGGCTCCGCCTCCACAGAACAATAGGAGAAAAAAATAAAAAAATATAATTAATTAATGAATGGTGTCAGGACATGCTCTGGCTTCGTTCGGAGGGCGGAGAACAAAGACCGGTCAAAGATCCCCAAAATTCCACGCGAAGAACAACGATATTCAAACCGGTCAGCCAATGCACGCCAAAAAGCCTTGCGCCCTTTGGGCCATAAAAGTCAAACCTCCTTCCTTCCCTTGCTTGCTCTGACTCCTTCTCTCCTTCTCTCTTTCTTCGACCCACCAGCAAAAAAAGTTTTCCAAGTTTCAAACTTTGAACAACTTTGCTTAACAGATCCTCTTCCCCTTTTGCTCTCTCTGTGTCTCCACCTCTCTGTCTCCAAGTTCACGATCGGTCCCGTCCGCGAGCGCCCTTTAAGCTTGGCCTGCCTCGAGGATATTGCGTACCGTTCGTGTTCTTTTCCGAGGATTCTTGATTGGGTCGTTCGCGAGTCAATCTTGTCGGAATTTGGACCCGGGAAGTTGGTTTCGTGCCATTTCCGTTGCTGTTGCCCACCTCGACGCGGTTTGTCCCGATCGTTTTCGATCTGAATCCGATCCGAGGTGGTTGGTTTCCGGTCCGGCGATCCGGCTTCCGGGTGCGGGAACTTTTGCGAATTCGGATTCGAGTTTCTCGCGATCTTGGCGATCCGATTCGATTCGGGGAGCTTGTCCTGTTTCCTGTGCTCTGAAGTTTTAGCTTCCTTCGCTTCTGAATTCGATTCTTGATCTCCCCACGATATCGAATTCTTGAGAATTCAGCTGACTTCTCGTGTTCAGAGTTCGAAATCTTCGGGATTCGGGGCGCTTGATAGGAAATTCGTTGGCTTCGAGCTCTTGGGGTTTGCGCTTTGGATGTTAAGTTGGTAGAGAGTCGATCAACGATGGATGGTTCGCAAGGAAAATCAAATGCTCCCGCTCCATTTCTGGTCAAGACCTACGAGATGGTCGATGATCCTCAGACGGAGTTCCTGGTGTCCTGGAGTGAGAGTGGATGCAGCTTCGTGGTGTGGAACCCGCCCGAGTTCTCCAGGGAATTGCTCCCCAAGTACTTCAAGCACAACAACTTCTCGAGCTTCGTGAGGCAGCTCAATACTTATGTAAGATTCGATTCCGAACCCCCCGAGTTCCTGGTTCTTTTTCGTTCCGCAATGTTCTTCACTTGGTTCGATGTTTGCATATGTTCCTGCTTATCTTCTTAGAGTGGCTGACTGAATTCTCTATGTGCTTATCTTCTTAGAGTGGCTGACTGAATTCTCTATGTTTGTGAACAAAAACTAAAGACCTCTCCAAAAGTCAAAAGATAGCACCTGGTGTACTAGAGATTCTCGGTTTCACATTTTATGCTGAATCAAGTTATGATTTGCTGGTTAGAGGTTCTCCATCCATCTCCAGTATTTACATACTTTCGGATCGATTGATTCTTGGCCACGGGAATGAGGAGTGCTCGATCTGGTCTCTGAGTGCTTTCAACAAGTCTCCAGATTTTGGTAAATTGAAACCTGTGGTTGTCAGTGGTTTCCTTTGAACTTTTTTTCTTGGTTGGAGATGCAGTCGAAAGGATGAAACTAAAATTTGATGGGAATTCTTCTACCACTCTTTGGTTGCCGTGACCTGAATAATGCCTTTCTGGGTTGATAGATTGCAGGTCTTTGTTTCCCTTTGCCCTCTCGTCTTGCTGTTGGCTGTACTCTCATCATTTCTGTTATTGTTTGTGGGTTGTCTTAATGCCGGAGCACGCTAATTTGGCAAGATGGTTGATTTATGCACGTACGTGAATTTCCTAGTCTGATTCTTTGATTTTGATTTGTTTCTTGAACAGGGTTTTAGAAAGATAGATCCTGATCAGTGGGAGTTTGCAAATGAAGAATTCATAAGAGGGGAGAAACACCTTCTGATTAATATCTACCGACGCAAACCAATCCATAGCCATTCAGGGCAGAGTGTTCGATTGACTGATACGGAAAAACAGGCGTATGAGGAGGAAATCAGGAGACTGCAGCACGAGAAGAGTTTGCTTCAGTCGGAGCTTCAAAGATATCAGGGACAGAATCCGGATGTCGATTTCCAAATACAGCTACTACGTAAGCAATTCCAAAGCATGGAACAAAAACAGACGCAGTTGATGGCATTTTTGGCTAAATTAATGCAAAAACCGGTATTTGCTTCTCTTCTTACACAACAGTTGGATATCCCTAACAAAAAGAGAAGGTTGCCGGAACTGGATCATTTACATGACTCGGATGACATGAACGAGCGAGAGAGTTTGAAGTTCCACAATAAAAATCCCTCTGGAGTTCCCTTTTCTCTAATAGATATGGACTCCGTTGAGAAATTGGAGCAGTCTTTGCACCTTTTGGAAAATCTCCTTCAAGGAGTTGATAATACAATAGGCGTGGACCATCACGACTTTGGTGCATTATCATTGCCTTCGCCGGCTGGTTTCACCGGGAGAAAAGAATCTTCGGACGATTCTGACGGGCATATCCACCTTTGGTCACCTGGGTCACCTCCATCTTCGAAAGACATCGCATCGTCACCGGAGCTAGCACTGGGTACAGATCACGTCGAAAGCCCGGAGACATCATCAGTGTGTCTCAACATGGACATTAGCCTCAAATCATCGGTGATTGACGTGAACGTGGAGCCACCCTGCATCCACGACGTGGATAACTTGAAAGAACAGATCCTCGAGAAAATGCCCGGCGCACCGACCGCCGTCAACGATGTGTTCTGGGAGCAGTTCCTCACCGAAGCCCCTTGCCCGACCGACTCTCAGGAAGTGCAGTCCGAAAGGAGAGAAGGGAATGGAAGCAGGAGTCCTATGGAGCCAGCTAATCGCGGGAAGTTCTGGTTGAACTCGCATTACGGAAACGACTTCACAAAGCATGTCGGGAGCCTTGCTTCAGAAGGAAGAAGTTGATATTTTTGATGCTTTAGGAACACCATAGTTTTTTACACCTTTTTTCACCTGCATAGGATGTTGGGTCATTCATTTTCCTTGGTGGTTGTCCACATACACGATCCCTCTGTGTCTTTCCATTGATATTACAGTATCTGCTCCTAGGTATTAGTTAAGAGATGTATTCGAACGAACTGATGTATTCTACCTGTCCTAACTAATGATCATGTCGCACGTTTTACACTACCCAAGATCATGAAAAGGGCTTAGTGTTGAGAGATTTGATAATGCATTTGTCGCTAGGAAACGCAACGATTCTGCAATCCCGCAACAGTACTCTTGAACGTGGCCCTTGTTCGACAAGGGTGGCATACATTTCTGTCCGGCCACTGGGAGTGTCGCCGCGCGAGTCCTTCACGCGGTTCAATTAATACGTAGGAACATGTGGCGAGCATGCGCCAAACTTCGTTTGGAGTTGGATATGCATTTCAAAGATGGGTGCCAAATTTTGATTGCCACATAGAAGAGAAATTGCAATTAGATCATTTTTTCCGATATATAACAGTTAGATTCGACATGATGAATCATTTGATTAAGAAGAAATGGATGAGAAATAAGACGTAAGACGCTATCAAACTTTTTTGAAAAAAGGGTTAATATCACGAAAATCTCCAAACTGATACACCTGCGATAAATTTATTCCAAACTAATTTTTTGACCACCCAAACCTCCAATCTCGTACACTTGTGATAAGTTTACCCTTCGTTAATTTCCGTTAAATTTTACTATCAAATTGCTGAATTAGATGACACGTGGCAGTTAACGAGCGTACCAGTTTTGGGTTTTACCCTCTCTCCGTTTGTCATGGTTTGTGATTTTTCGTGGTATTAATTCAATTTAACGAAAATTAACGGAAGGTAAATTTATCACAAATTTATCAGTTTATGGTTTTTAGTGATCAAAAAAGTTAATTTGAAGCAAATTTATCGTAAATGTACTAATTTGATATTTTTGGTGGTATTAATGATAAAAAAAATGTTTAATTATGTCAGAAAAACAAATGATGTACAATTTGATGTGTTGTCGCCATGACCGGTGGCTCTCCATTGAAAATCAGCACTGAACATAAATTTCTTTTTTTTTTTATTTCCGGAGTAAAAATCGAGGAAGGCCCATTTTTTTTACATAATATTCATTGAATATAATTAGACATAAAGGTAGATAAATCAAAAGGGTAAAAAAAGATAAAAAGGGAAGAATGTTTCTTCAGATCTACGATTAGACCAACGAACGAAGGCGATGGCGCAACAGCAACAGACAACTGCACCAAAAAACCGAAACACCCCGAAATTTCTCAGCGCGAATAGAAGGAGACGCCGAAAGACCGAAGTGCTCCGCACGCCATTCCCGTCTGGAAAATTTCGCCGGCTCGGCGGCTCCACGCACCAGAAGAGCATCTCCATCTGATTCGCGAAGCCTCTCGATCTCAGATCTCTCCGCCGCGCGTTGACGGCGGCACCGTCAAGGTCAGCGTCGATCCCACGCCTCTCCTCCCTCCTCCTCCTCTCGCGCATTTCGATCGTCGCGATTCAATGGCGGTAGCTCCGGCAGGCCGTGGTGGTTCTGCCGACATTGCATCGTCGTGTTTAGCTCGAGCTTGTTCATGGCGATCGGTTGTTCCCTACGCTCGGAGCGTGTAGAAATCATTCGTCGGTACTTTTGTTTTTTTTCGGATTTCGTTCGTTCGGCGTCTTCTCGCGTGAATAGGCGATTCTTTGCCTATGGAGAATTGTCGCGGGGAAGAATGTCAAATCGATCTGTTTTTTTTTTTTTTTGCCTGATTAAATCGAATCCAGACTGCTGTCTTAGCTTGATTCTGATTACCAGAGATGCGCCGGAGAGGTTGAAGCGTTCCAGTTCATTGTTTGGTTTAATGTCCTGAGCTCGATTTTGCTTCCAATACCTGGATTGTTGATGACAGCGAAGGAAATTGTCTTGAATGTATTTTTGGTTGTTGAATGGTTAAACTTGTTCTCATGTGTGTTACATATGTTCTCTAGAAGCAGGGAAGGTCGCTCGGATCAACTTTTCCGGACATTTGGAAATTGGCTGTGGCAGAAAAGTTCAAACTCTTATCTAAGTATCTGTTGCTGGTTAGGGTGAAGTACGGCAGGCACCGTTTACTTCTTCCGAGTTTCGTTGGCTTACAGACCAAATCGGCTACTTTTTGAATGAGAGACTGTGTGTCTCGTAGTTTTGCTGCTGGACCCGTATAGTTTGCTGTCTTGTTAGATGTGAATCAAATGAAGCTGATATCGGCAATATCCTGTAGTGTTAATGGCTCAAGTCTAGTGAAGGAAGGAGATGTTAGGCAGTGATTTGGTTGCAGAAGAGGTTGAACACACTGTTAGAAGCTGCACTCAAAGTGGAAGCCAGGCCGTTAGTCTACGGCGAGAGCCTTCTTTCTCACGATGGTGCAATGAGGATGCTGGAGTTCTTTTGAATATCCAGAAAGAAAACTCTGATGAATCGATCGAAGAGCCTGATTTTGAATTGCCGTTTCTCCAGCAGAACGAGCAGGGAAATGGATTTCTAGGCCACAGTAGATATCAGTATAGTAAGTTCCAGATGGATACTGTGCATATGAATGGAAGCAGTGTGGACAATCCTTCTATACATGGAGAAGGAAGTGAATCTGAGAAGTATTCTTCCCTAAATATTGAAAATGGATCCGTTAGTGAGAGAAATCTCTCAAATGTTGGTGCAGATGGCCTTAGTTCTATTAGTGGTCATGAAGTATCTGCACCAAATTCCGAGAGTTCTATCTCTGCTGCTAATGTGCTGAAGACATTGTTTTTCATACTTGTATGGTACACTTTCAGCACCCTTTTGACCCTGTAAGTCTCTCCATTTTCTAGTCAATCTCGAGAAATACCCGTTTCCCTTATTTAAGTGGCATGTTAACATACTCGTTCATTGTATTCCCCCCATGATGTGCGTAGGTACAACAAAACTCTACTAGGAGATGACATGGGAAAGTTCCCCGCTCCCATGTTGATGAATACTATCCACTTCACTATGCAAGCCGTTTTATCAAAGGGCATCACTTGGTTTTGGTCTCATAAATATCAAACTAAGGTTACAATGTCATGGACAGACTACTTTGTCAGAGGTAAGCTAACGGACTATTAATTCTTTTTTTTTTCCCATAAAAGGTCGCCCTGGTTTTGCATTATAATGGAATCTCTTTTAGATACTTGATGTCTTAAAAATGTGTCCAAGTTACAGTGGTGTTTAGCATGGATACCGTGATGCATGTCCAATTTAAAAGCTTACATTTTTGGCTTCAGAAATATATCATCAGGGCCTCTTTGCTGAAATAAATGCGACCAATTTGATTCTTTAGTTCTCCTAGGGTTGGTTTTGTTCACAATCACTGGATATTTACATTTCTTCCTGCAGTACTTTAAAAAATTAGTTAATTAACTTTCTATCAACTAATGCGACAGATGGAATTTGCCTTTCACAGTTGTACCGACTGCCCTTGCAACGGCCATGGATGTGAACCTCAGCAACGAATCCCTTGTTTTCATCTCTGTTACATTTGCAACAATGGTTGGTTGTTATCCTTTGTATGTTAGAGATACTTGCTCATGCTTTCTTAGTTTGCTTGATTCTATGTTTCATAGGCTCATTTATAGTTCTATTAATTATCTCTTGCTACTCGGTCAACTTCAACTCTGTTTTTTTTTCCTTTTGCAGTGTAAATCAGCAGCTCCTATATTTCTTTTATTGTTTGCTTTTGCTTTCAGGTGAATTTCTCTTCTTAACCTTTACCACATCAAAATTTCTGCAACTTCTGTTATTTTGCTAGGATGTTATAGGACTAGCATTACCATCCTGCCCAAAGAGTCATTATGATTTATATGGCCCATAATTGTGTCTCACACTCCTTTAAGATCTCTAATTATATTGGAATTTCTTGTTTCAGAATAAATGTTTAGTATCTATTCTCTGTTTTAGTAGTCATCTAGTTGAATGTCTGTTTCGGTCTGGTAAATTTTTCATTGTTGTATGTGTATACCAAGTATTGATATTCTTCTCCTGGCTCTCTTTTCATTCCTTCAATATCTGTTGGGAGTGGGATGGAATCCTCTATACTTAAGAGTTAATTTTTTGTGTTTGACCAAGTCGTCTTGGACAGCAACATCCTCACAGAGTCATGATATCCCCTGTTAGCTAGGTTGTGCAGTGATGGCTGATTTAATCCTGCTCCTTGATATTAGAACAAAGAAGGATCAATTTTTTTGCATAGTATAGCAGAGTTTCATTATATATGCATTTGCTCATACCATTCCAAATCCCTCTCCTTTGTCCTTTATCCATGTCCTAGTGAAATCTCCTTCATTCCCTGTTCTATCTCGATGTTATGTTTAAAGGTTGGAGTCTCCCAGCATTAAACTCTTGGGTATAATCACTGTCATTCTCTGTTCTATCTCAATCTATACTTAAGAGCTAATTTTGCGTTTGACCAAGTCGTCTTGGACAGCAACATCCTCACAGAGTCATGATAACCCCTGTTAGCTAGGTTGTGCAGTGATGGCTGATTTAATCCTGCTCCTTGATATTAGAACAAAGAAGGATCAATTTGTTTTGCATAGAATAGCAGAGTTTCATTATTTATGCATTTGCTCATGCCATTCCAAATCCCCTCTCCTTTATCCTTTATCCATGTCCTAGTGAAATCTCCTTCATTCCCTGTTCTATCTTAATGTTATGTTTAAAGGTTGGAGTCTCCCAGCATTAAACTCTTGGGTATAATCACTGTCATCTCTGTTGGAATCTTATTAGCAGGTATGTAGTGGACTTTTATTTTGTTTGTTCTATTTATTTATGGATTATGCCTTGCCAGTATTTTACATAAAAGGGCCAGATGCAGTAATCTTTTTGAGTTACTGCAGGAAGTTTCTAAAATATATGAGTCAAGATGTCTTGGCCTTAATATTTTTTCTGGGATGTCATGAATTTTCCTTTTTTTCCTTGGCTTTTTTTATTTTACGCTCCGCAGTTGCAAAGGAGACTGCATTTGAATTCTGGGGTTTCATTTTTGTTATGCTTGCTGCTGTTATGTCTGGATTTCGCTGGTGCATGACTCAAATACTGCTTCAGGTACGACATACATTGTGCTTCTTTCCTCTCTTCTAGCAAAGATACACCAGTTGCTTGGACTAACTTTATTTCTGTTTTGAAAAAAATGAAAAAATCGTTGCATCCTGATGCCATTATTGATCTGAAGAAAGAGGCGTATGGTAAGTGTTTCTTTTCTTTCTTTCGCAGTAGTAGAACAACATCAATGGCCTACAGCTCCTATGCAATGTTATCTGTTTGTTGAGTGCATAAGTTTTTTTTTCGTGATGAAAATACTGATCCATTCATCTCCGTAAAAGTAAAATGTTTCATACACAATGACGGGTGAAATGCAGAACATAATGTTAATAGTTGTACAAGAACATTAGATATTGATGTGGAGAGTTCTATCTGGACAGTGTTAAAGTTTCTTGAAAGCTTGGTCTTATTGAATTGTTTTTGTGGATTTTTGGCATTTGTTCGATGACATAGGAGTTCTAAATCGGAGTTTGTTCTGCTACATAGATAGTAGTTTCTGCTGTACAGCTTCTATAAAGAAAGAAGTGAAAATTACTATTTGAGCCAGCTTATCTAAAAGAATTTACTTAAGCTTGCCATTTAATCAAGGTTATACTTTATGTCTTTGGAATTCATTGCAAATTATAGATAATGATGCACACACCTCTTGACTTTTGTTTCAGGTTTAAAAGATCCACTGACCTTGATGAGCTACATAGCTCCAGTGATGGCGCTAGCAACTGCTTTTCTTTCCCTTTTGTTGGATCCATGGGACGAATTTAAAAATAATAATTATTTCAATAATTCACGTCATCTCACACGAAGTTGCTTATTGATGCTTCTGGGTGGAACACTGGCCTTCTTCATGGTAGGTACATTGTGTACATGGTGGAACTTGTTTCATTTTCAAGCTGGTGTGTTATTTTTATATATGTATATGAACACCATTTTCTGGTTTGTAATATCATAGTTGAGTTGCTAATTGCTGCTACTATATAGGCTTTTTTGCTAGTTGTTACTGTTTTAGAGGTTTTACATGTCTTCACATTGTCCTTTCGTTGCAGGTTTTAACTGAGTACATTCTTGTCTCAGTGACAAGTGCTGTCACGGTTACGATTGCTGGTGTTGTCAAGGAAGCTGTTACCATTCTGGTATGGACTTCTCTCTGGGTCATTCTTACTAGTTTATATGGACATGTATCTTCAGAACTATGTGCTAAAATTTTCTGTAAAGGTTCCACTGTTTTCTGCAAAAGCCCATTGTCATCCAGAGAGAACTTAATTCTACAGTAAAATGTCCATTAATGAAAAAGAACATGAAAAATTTCCTTAACTCTTGTTATCTTCTCCTGTTTATTCAATACTGAAATACTAACTGGGTTTTTAGCTAGCTATGTGGGAAGTACTGACCACACTGAAGTACTTTATCCAATAAAGATTATGTGAGTTATGTCTGGAGTGGCCTTCCATGATGTCAGCTACGAGACAATTATTTATGTCCAACTTGTTAGTTAATTGGTGGCTAGGCTTTTTGGGTCCTGTAGAATAATGCTACTAACTCCGTTTGTTTTGCGGAAATCGATGATTTGGAAAACATTTTCCTAAAATCGATCGCTTGTATCGCTTGAAATAATTAGTCATCAAGAGTTATTTGCATTATTGACAACAATTTATGTCTTGATATTTTTGTGGATGAACAAGTGACTATTTTTAAGAAAATGTTTTCCAAATCATTCATATTCTGCGAAATAAATGGAGCCTGTGTATCTTGTTTCTTCGTCACTCACACGCTTACATTGTCGTTGTCAGATGTGCAGTGCTAGCAATGACACTTTACATAACAATAACAGTGCCTTGGGTTGTTGAGTTGTACTTTGCGTTGAATTTACCTATGAGTGGACTAGCTTGCGTTTTTTATTATTTTTTTGTTGCATGTTATTATTAAGTAAACCCTAGTCATGTGGAGTTGCAAAGTCATTTTATTTCATACTCTATGATGTTTTTCAGGTTGCGGTGTTCTATTTCCATGATGAGTTTACCTGGTTAAAGGGACTTGGTCTCTTGATAATTATGGTCGGCGTCAGTTTATTCAATTGGTACAAGTAAGTTCATGGTAGATGCAGTTGTATGTGTTCTTTCAAAATTTTCTTTTCTTCATGCATGATAAGTAAACCATGTAGTTATATTTGGCACTTCTTCGCTATCAGTTCAAATTTTTGGCTTTAATGCTTTGTCACTCGTAATGAATATACACAGATGACTAGGATATGCATTTCTTGCTCTTCAATTATTTTGATGTTCATTTTCCTCAACAGTGTAGAGTTTTTCTTCTGGGGTGCACATTTTACTATATTAATTTCATGTGAACTAAGAAAAAATTAATGATGAAACGTCGGTGCCGATTTGTTTAACAGACAGTAATAACATACCAAAGTTTCAAACTAATTTTGGATAATCGCCAAAAGACCCAAAACAGGATATTTTACTTTGAGAGCTCAGTTTTTTACCTGCCAAAAGTAGGTGGAGGAACAGAATAAGCTTATCTTTTCTTGTTGCGAGAAATTTGAATACGCTCTTATGTCTATAATTCCTTGTTGCGAGACCTACTATGGCCTGACCATGCAAGGCGTGCAATGTTACTTAAATGAGTCATAATATAATATCATATAATAGCTAGGAGAACCATGTTTGATATCAACCATGCAATGATGCAAATTATTAGAACTTGCATAAAAAAGTCCACAAATCTGTACTTTGCTTATTGTAACTTTGAGATACTCTAAGGCCAAAATAGTGTCAAAGAGGCACAAGTCATTTGAATTCTCTTTAGGGTTCTGGCTTGCCTTTTCTGTCAGTTTTTAGCTTGTTTAGGCAAACTAGGGGACTACTTAGTCCATTGGCAGAAGCAATCTAGAATTACACAGGTACAACGCTTTCTGTGCTAGTTCATCACTAGGTTTTTACTTAGCTCTTACATGTCTTTCTTCAATGTGATGGTAAATTGAGTTTATTCTGTGAAAGTTTTTCTCCTGATGAGGTTTTGCCTCTGTTGATTGACTGTTATGATTTTTAGTCCCTCGTCTTTTTGTACGATTTATTAGCTAAATCACCTGTTTAGTTCCTTGTTTCCAGTGTGGTGTTAAGCACTAATTATCTTCTTTGTTCATTGATTCTGCAGATATCAAAAGCTACAAAAAGGGCATCGTGCAGATGATCATTCGGGATCACCTGCAACAAATGCTTCGGCAAAATATGTTATTCTTGAGGAGATGGATGATCAAGCTGATGAAACTTGATTGCTGCAGGAATATGATCTAATACTCTTGATACGGCTCAAGTAAGTTTATCCCCACCATAGCTGTTGATACCTCATGTCTGTTGCACTTAATAAAATCTGTGGAGCTGTGCTTTGATGTCATGCTTACAAATCTTGCCTGCAAATGCATGACGATGCATAGCAATTACATATTTTTCAGAAAGCATCTTTTATGTAAGTCTTCCATATCTGTATCGATGTCGACCAGAAGTCTGTCAAAGTTTGTGAAAGTCCTTCATTGGACCCAAAGGTCTGTTAAGGTGAAAGTATGTAGCCTTACCATTGCATTGCAAATATTCTGTGTCTTAAACTTTTTGCCTTAAAGTTACAGTGAAACATCCTAACCGTTGTACCAAAGCTTAGCCACATTCAGGAATGAATATTGAAATTTCCCCTCAATAGAAAGGATAGAAGTATTTGTTGATCCTTTTTGAACATGACGAGAGGGGTCAATGCTTGCCAGGAAAACAACGCAAGAGGGTCCTCGACGACAAATTTCTTGGTGATGCCACTTTCTTAGGACCCACCACGAGTATCTTGAGAATACCTTGAGGGGAATGTGCTATGACCTGGCGCCTAACTTACAATTAATCTAACAGTTGGAGTCAGCATGCGCGGAAATAATGTCGAGTAGGGCTGTACCTTGATCACTTGAACTTAAACTCCCATTTTGCTCAATTATTTGGGAATTAGACTAACATAATGATTAAGCAAGGCAGTCATCTTAGTTGTCATGAAAATGCAGTAAAAAAGAGAGGGAATAGCTTTTTCAATTTTGAACTTTAAGACTCGCTTTAACTCGTGCTGAATTTAAAGACAACATATTAGTCAGATGGATGAGAGAGAGAGAGAGAGAGAGAGATATATGCTTCACGTTTGACGTAACAAATAACTCATTGATTTTTACCAAAACTTCGTAATGGTGATATCATCTCTAATGATTCCTTACTTGCCATGGCTTTATTGTTTTCAAGCAACCACTGAGCCACCAACTAGTTTAATTTGCTTGGGAACGCTTGTTGACCTGTACCTTTTTCATTCAGGTCAGCTTCTTGAAGCTTGTGAAATTGTCTCATCACTTCTGGTGTTGAGTTTGGTTTCTCCACAACGGTCATTTTAATATGCAAGGCCCTGTCTGTTTTTGATATGAAGATATGCATTTCGGGATGTCAGTAAGACTTAGGCTGCGCATCCTTGTGGTTTGATTGCCTGCAGTCAATTAAAAGGCAATGCTCTTTTCTTGAGCATCTGTCAGAGGTTTCCCATAAGGCAGATTTTGTCTCTACGCATCAAGACTGCTAAGCGGCAAACCTTTATTTCTTGAGATATAATTCCAAATTGGATAGCCTTTTTGCCCTAGATGTTAAGCATGTAGACGACCATTGTATACTAGAATTATTCCGAGCATTCTGCCTTTTGATTTTCTCTGTTTATTTTACTATTCCATCTAATTTGGTCCCACCGTGGGATTGTTATGGCTGTAACATGTGAACCAAATTCCGTGGCATGTACAGTGGAAGCCGGTTCTTTGTTTAACCAGTTTCGTTCTTTTGATAGCACGTTCTTTTTCCTTGATCTAATGATGTAAAATCGTTCCTGCTTGTGAAGCAAATTGTCTTTGATGCTTTGCCTCGACCCAGGTTTTCACTCTATTTTAGGTCAAAACCAATGTATATCGTCACTGAGAGCGGTTGTTGTCAATCCAAAAGGAGTTGTGATATTTCACACTTTGGTTAGTGGTTGCCATTTGAAATGCGAAAGCGACAAGAAATAAGATGGATGTTAGTGGAATTGAACTATGTTGTTGCGAGGCATAAAATCCAACCAAAGCGTGTTATTCTTTACGCTCTCACATTCTTTTAATCATTGAAGCTCGCTCAAGCGAGTAGAGGCGCAAGGATTGAAACTGACAACTGGAAATGTGCGCACAGAGATGTTAATGGATAGTTATAAATACTGGAAAGAACCTGTTCTTCTGGAGTTCGAGCACGTCCCCTTCTTGACTTGATAACTATTTGCACACATGAAATTGATTCGTATTTCCATGTCGATCTGAGTAACTGAAGCGCTGGGGATACTGAAAATTATCAGCGAAAGACACGAGGAAAATTCTGCTAACTCCATGTCTCTATAAAGAGAGAAGTTATAGAATTATTTTGTCCTTTGAATTGATACTATATAGCGCAAACTGGAGGTTGCCATCGTTCTTGGGAATTAGTGTATAGGCACTTGGTATTAATTTCTGTGGAATCAATTATTCTTCACTAGAAGCCGACATGAAGTTAATAGGCATGAATGTCCTATGCTGACTGGATTTATGAGGGGACATTACCAAAAAAAAAAATCCTAAATCTATTGCATTTGTGCAATTCAGTACTAAAATTTTCAATTTTATCAATTTAGTCCCAAACTTTTTGATAATATGCCAATTGAGTCCATCCCGCTAAGAGTGATGGTCCGAGCCTCAACCAACTGTGATCAAGGGCCATGAGCCCTCGCCCAGCTTTGAGCAAGGGCCGTGAGCCCTCGCCCAGCTCCCTCGCTGGGCCTCTGACGGCCTCAACAATAAAAAAAAAAAAAAGAAAAGTAAAGGAAAAAAGAAATAAGAAAAGAAAAAAATTAATAAAAAAGTTTAGAAAAATTCAAAAAGTTCAAAATTTTCCACGCCTGTACCATGTAGGACGGCTGGCGTCCACGTCATCAATTTACGGCCAAAATTGGCCGGATAGACTCAATTGATAAATTATCAAAAGGTTTAGGACTAAATTGGTCAAATTGAAAAGTTTACGATTGAATTGGCGCAAGTACAATAAGTTTATAACTTCTTTGGTAATTTTCCTGATTCACAAAGTTGCATTCTTTGTCTTATGCAGTTATTTTATCGGATGATGACTGAAAATTTTCCCAAGAAAATGTACCCTCTCTAGATATATACTACATCGTAAGTGTATGGCAGTTGATCTATCCATTTCTTCGGGCCTACTTTTTTGTTTTTTGGTCAAAAGAGATTTTTATTCATTATTAAAATGATATATGAAACTATCAATAGGAAATCTCAAAAGTTACCATAACAAGACAAGCCTGTAAAACTCCAAAACAAACTAAAAACCAGAAATCAAGGTACATCATCAAAGCATGGTTGGCAAAGATAATCACGTGCTCGTCCTTCAAGAACATATCTGCGACTGCATCCAAGCGAAAGGATCGGCGGCCGATCACCGAATCACACATCTTCATTAGTGATGAACATACGTTGGGATCTCCATCTGCAGTTACGGTTTTACTTTTGGGCGGTGTGTGCTAAGATTCGGCGTCTCCAACACCGTCGCCGTATGGAGACAATATAAACATGTTGAACAAGCTTAGATCTGACACCTGTGAAAACAAGCCCTTTAGCAAGTGCGAGACTCCGAAACTTTTAACAAAAACACGTTGAACGAGCACAAATTTGACACCAAAGATACTGTGAACATTATTGAAATTGGAGACGGAGTACTTATTCATCAAAACTCCTTAATCTAAAATTAGATAGGAGAGAAAAGCTCTCAGATCTAATATCGGGAGAGCAAAACTCTCATATCTAAAACTAGATCGGGAGAGTAAGGAAAGAAACAAGAAGAAATTAAACGAAAAAATAACGAGGCAGGGGAGGGAGAGATCTAGGTCAAATCCCTCTCCTGCAGAAGTTGAAGAGACGAAGAACGGATGAAACGCAAGAGAGGGAGAGAGACGGAGGGAGACGAATTTCTACTCTCAGATCTGGCCTACTTGGTGTGTCCAATGATGATGCCCCACACTCTATGGTCGAGAAATTTCAACACTCCTGTATTTGTGGCGACAACCCAAAGACAGAAATTCAGCACCGTGTGAGATTAGCGAAGAGAAGACGTCGAAAAAAAAGTTGCAGTCAATGACATCATCCTGTTGTTCCTGAATTCATGACTATCCCTCGGTCGCAGATAATATCTTGCAAGAGACATTCCTCGCACAAAGCTCTAAATGGTCTCTGGTGGGATAATTTCTTCTTGTTCCTGTGCTCCTTCTCCCACTCTCCTCGTCCTCCTCGTCCTCCTCCTCCTCCTTCCGGTCCTCCTTCCATCACTAACTATGGCCGAATCCTGGAATGGACCTTCATCGGTTAGCCTTCCTGCTGAGTGGACCGCTGGTAGACCTTACGACTACAATCTAACTCGAGCTGACCTTCAGGTAAGCATCAAGATCGTGCTTTACAGGCAAACCTCGGGGCCAAGTTTCTTTTATGGCTTCACATGCTATTATGAAAGTGTCTGCTACTTTGGCCTGTTCATTTTCCAATTGATCGAGGACATGAAGAGCATCCAGCCAGTGATCGTGTGGTCAGCTAACCATGGTAAACCCATGAAGCACGCCGCCCGGCTGCAACTCACTGAGGAGGGCGATTTAGTCTTACTGGGCGACGATGGCAACAAGATTTGGTCCACGGATACTAAGCGTAAGTCAGCCGTGGGGTTAAACTTGACTGAAGCTGGAAACGTCGTGCTCTATGATAGAAGCAACGCTGTCATTTGGCAGTCTTTCGATCACCCTGCAGATTGTTTACTTCCTGGACAGGCACTACGTCCCGGAATGAAACTAACGTCGCCAGTGCCAGATGGGAGGGCACTGATCTACACGTTCACCGTTGAGGATCACGTAGGCTTTGTTGCATCCGTAACAACAACCAGTTCTTCCCAAACTTACTACAGAACGAGTGATGTAAGCAAAATGACAAGCAACATCGGACAGGTTGCAGCACTTTACGGAAATAAAAGCTTCGGTGAGTTTGATCTTCCTGCCACATCATTGGCTCAGTTTATCATGCTGGAGTCTGATGGGCATCTGAGACATTACGTTCACGATGGGAACTATAGCTGGAACAAGGAGGATCTTCTTAAGGATAGGATCAATGATTGCGGTTATCCACAGGTCTGTGGGAGTTATGGCATTTGTTCAGATACGTCTATAGGCCCTCAATGTGATTGTCCAAGTGAGACAGGATATTTCAAGCAAATTGAAGAGCGTCAACCGGCCAAGGGTTGCAATGCTAGCATGTCTATCTCTTGCGATTCTCCGAATCACACTTTTGCAGCAATTAGTAATATCTACTACTTTGCTTTTTCTGATGTTATTCGTGCCGATATCTCAAACACAACTGTAGAGACTTGCAAGGAAGCTTGTTTGAGTAAAGGGTGCTCATGCACAATGGCACTATTTCACAATGAAACTGCTTTCTTTGGTGGAGACTGCTATTTGTTATCAGATTCATTTTCGTTGATGGATAACACTAACATGGGCCATACTCCTAATGCCTTAGCATTGATTAAAGTCGACAATGCTTCAGGACATCCAATATCATCATCGACAAGAAGGGGAAGGGCACGGACTATGATCATAATAGGGACTACTGTTGGAGTCGTCTTGATGTGTTTAGTTAGCATTTATTGCATTTTTGTCCGATGTAAGGTCAAAGCAGATGATGTCGAGGATGATGATCCAGACTTACAGAGGCTGCATCTAACTCGATTCCCTTATGAGGACTTGAAGGCCATGACAGGAGATTTCAACAACAAGCTTGGGGAAGGAGGATTTGGCTCGGTGTTTCTAGGAACTTTACCCAGCGGCGTTAGGATTGCAGTCAAGCGCCTTGATGGTTTTGGTCAAATAAAAAGGTCATTCTTGGCCGAGGCCGGAACCATTGGCACTATCCATCATGTCAATCTCGTAAGACTACTTGGATTTTGTGCTGAAAAATCACATAGGCTTTTAGTCTATGAGTACATGTGCAATGGTTCTCTTGATAAGTGGATCTTCCATAAAGATCAAGAGTTTGATATCCGTTGGCAAGTGAGGAGAAAGATTATCCTCCACATTGCCAAAGGACTAGCCTATCTCCATGAGGAATGCCACCAAAAAATAATGCACTTAGACATCAAACCCCAAAATATACTACTGGATGAATGTTTCAATGCGAAGCTAGCTGATTTTGGGCTGTCCAAGCTAATTGATAAGGACCAAAGCCAAGTCATGACTACCATGCGTGGAACACCAGGTTACCTTGCTCCAGAGTGGTTAAGCTCTGTTATCACGGAAAAGGTCGATGTGTACAGTTTTGGCATTGTTATGTTAGAAATCCTATGTGGGAGGAAAAATGTGGACCGCTCTTTGCCGAGTGATGAAGTGCATATGTTGACCCTTTTCAAGTGCAAAGCAGAACAAGAACAACTACTGGACATGGTTGATAAATACAGTAGTGACATGCAACTACATGGCCAAGAAGCTGTCAAGATGATGAAAATCGCAGCATGGTGTTTGCAAGATGATTATAGTATGAGGCCTTCCATGTCTGCAGTAGTTAAATGCTTGGAGGGCTTGGTTAGTGTAGCTAGTTCAAGTTATAGCTTCTCAGTTCCTTTCGTTCACGGCAAGCAAATTGTTGATGAAGTTACTGAGCTATCAGCCTTGCAATTATCAGGTCCTCGGTGAAGAAAACTACTTTCCTGGATAAGCTCTGACGCTTCGATGGAGTAACTCCTAATAGTGCTGAGCTTCTCAGTTCGTCCAGATTACAGTGATCACGTTGTGATCAATTTACCGAGCTAGCTAGCCTTGCAATGACCAGGTCCCATGTGAGCAGAACTTGTTTCGCTTATAAGGTCCTGCATACTAATTCTTTAAGAGCTCTTATTGCATCATTAAACCTTCGGTATCAAGTCTTCCCATCGGATAATGATATAAATGGGGCAAATGTGTTTCATTCCCAAACACAGAGGAGCTGACGTAATCTCAAAGGACAAGAGGATGATGAACATGGTCAAAGGCAGCATTTAAATGGGGTATTCAAGTGAAACTTTTTCTTTTTCTGCTTTACATGCATCGGTTTGTTGTTCTCGAGCAAAATGGTTATGTCTTGGTTTCTTGGGCTTGCCTTTTTAATCACAGCAAGGCCCAAATTGCTTCTGATACGAAGACGGGCAACTTGGAATACTAACAAGAAACTGCTAAACCGCACATCTTCATATAATCAGATGGACTTCCAATGGGGCGGCCGTTTTTGCCTTTTTTTCCAAGATGTTAAGCATGTAGAGGGTCACTAAGAGACTGCTAAGCGGCACATCTTCATATCGTGAGATGAACTTTCAATGGGATGGCCGTTGTCCCTTATTTTCCAAGATTTTAAGCATGTAACTGTAAGCTAGAATATTTCGAACATTCTGCTTTCGCATTTCTGCCATATTCTTCTACTCTCCCTTCTCATTTGGCCCATTGTAGGATTTTTATTGCTGTAACGCGTGAACACATTAGGAGTCATTCATAGTGGAAGCCATTTCTTTGTTTGAGCAGTTTCCTTCTGTTGATAGTAATGTTCTTGTTTGTTTTTCTAACAATTTTTAATCTTAACGCAAGCGAACATGCTTTACCTTGATGGTTGCCTAGTTCTCTACTCTCTTTTTTCCCCAGCATCATCGCTGAGACCTACCTGAGTTGTTGTTCAGTTCATCAGCTACTAAAGCAGGCTGTGAAGAACCTGCAAAAATTGCAAATCAAGTGCTTCTGGAAGAACTTAATGGCCAACAATCAACACAAAAGAGTTGCGACATTTTCTCCAATTCAGTTTAGAGATAAAGAGGTGATTGATTTTGCCTTTTGACCGTAGAAGAATCACCGTCGCCCCGTAGGTCATGATCACACAAAATTTTGTGATACGACAGACATTGAGTCGAACGTTTTAGGTCAGTATATTTTTTCATCAGGATAAAACCCAACGTTAGTGAAAAGTATGTACATCTCGAAACATGGAATTCCTCAGCTGATACGACATGACCTATAGACTATATAAACCAAGATTATCATCTGGGACAACTTTTCTTGATACACGACATCGATGTATGTAGTGAGGAGAAAGCAAGAAAGGATGAGTGAAGTCATATCGAGCCAGCAGCACCATGTCTAGTTAATCAACTATATAAAAGAAAAAGAAAAAAGAACACCATTCAAAGCCTAAAGGTTGAGAAATGGCAGCATTACATCGCGAGTCTCTAACACATCTCTCGTTACGGTTTCTTAAATCCTTTTTTAGTAATGGAAACGGTGGTCATCGGTGAACCCCCTTCTCTCAACAGAAAGTAAGTACACCGAATATCCATAACAAAAATCTATATAAAATACAATCAAGAGCTAAAATTTATTGTTCCTACAGTAAAGTTTTAGAGTTTCTGGTTAAGGATCAATCAAGTCATTCGCTTCGTTAATAAAATTGCCGGAAATCTCACGTGGCAATACCACGCAATGTCAATTGTCATGTATGGGGATGCCTTACATTCATGACAAAAGGGAACATTAAATGTTTTCAATACAATTAATTCTTTTTTTATTCTATAGACTCAATATTTGGAAATTGAACTAGTTCATATGAAATATGCACAGGCACTTGTTAACATGGCCATGGCCCACTTACGTAAATGGAGAAATTTTATCACTCAATTGATCTTGTATTTGCTTGATTTCACAATCTTTTCCGCTAGTAATTCACCCATTGATGTTTATATAGTTAATATTGGCAAAACTTCACTTTAGTTTAGTATTCTACTTCAGCATATTTTACCCAAAACTTACAAGTTTAGCATAAGGATTGAAGAAAATGCTTGGATTATATAGACTTATGAGTGTTCTTTCTAAATCTAAAATAAGCTATTCATCGATTGAGAAAACATGTTCATTACATGCAAAACAAAGTTAGTCTTTAACCTCACCGACAGGTTTGGTTGACTAGCCGATGGTGTGTGTTTCAGTCCAAATCAGGATAGCCGACCATCTTTGACTTTAATCAAAAAGATATTCATGGAGATAGAGCTGGTCTGAGGTAAATAGTAGAGTTGACGGAACAAAGGAGCCGGACAAGACTCACCAGTGATTTTCATTTCGCCAATGGATGAAGTTGTCGAAGGAAAATGGAAAAGAATTCTAGTTTCTTTAATTTAACTAGCATTCTCTTTTACCATACTCAGTAATGCCTATTAATGTTCATGATGCAAATAGAGTACTTATTCATTTGAACTCACAAATTTACCAATGAATAACTTGAAATACGACATCATATTTCCAACGTAGAAAGGAGTGGAAGACTTGCTTAGTCTTGGTCAATAAAGGAGGGGACAGCAAAATTAAGGCCGTGTTCGTTTTCGAAAAAATATTCTCCCGAAAAATATTTTCCGGGTTTTCCGGTGTTCAGGGGACGGAAAACGTTTTCCGTGGAAAAACATTTTCCTTCCCCCCTCACAAAATAGCCTAAGTCTATGGAAAATGACTTCCGCTTTTTCAAAAGCGGAAATCATTTTCCGTAGCTGCTGCTTCTTCTTCTTCTTCTTCTTCTTCTTCTTCTTCTTCACCATTTTTTTTTTCATTTTTTTCGTTCTTCTCTTTCCTCAGCGCTGTGGCCGGCGACTGGCCAGTGGCGAGGCCCGAGCTCGCCGGCCTCAGGCGACCTCGGCCTCACGGCCGTTTGGCGACGTCGGGCGAGTCTCGAGCCTCGACCAGGTGGGCAGATCCGGCGAGGCCGAGCTCGCCCGAGGTCGGCGAGCTCCAACCTCACCAGATCCGGCGACCTCGGGCGAAAGCCTCGCCCGAGGTCGCCAGACGTCGGCGAGGCTCCGGCGACCTCGGCCGAGGCTCGAGGTCGCTGGATCTCGCCGATGCTTTGATTGTTTTGTTTTACGGGTGTTCTTGTTTGTGGGTTCTTCTTCTTCTTGTTCGTGGGCGAGGCTCCTCGGGCTGCTTGATCACCAGCGGCGACTTAGGCCTCGCTAGATCCGGCGACCTCGAGCCTTGCCCGAGGTCGCCAGACATCGGCGAGGCTCCGGCGACCTCGGGTGAGGCTCGAGCCTCGCCCAGGTCGCCGGATCTGGCGAGGATGGGCTCGCCGGCCTCGCCGGATCAAGCGAGGCTGAGCCTCGCCACAGGCCGGCGAGGCTCGACCTCGCCGGAATCTGGCGAGCTCGAGCCCTCACCGGCCTGGGGCGATGCTCGAGCTCGCCTCCGGCCGATCGCCGGCCGCAGCCGTTGCCGGCGACCTGCAGGGGAAGAAGCAAAAGAAAAAGAAAAAAAAAGAAAATATTAAAAGTATTGCAAGAAGGAAAATCATTTTTATAGCAAACAACAGAAAATATTTTCCAAGACTTTTTCAGATTTTAGCCGAACACCAGAAAATTGTGTTCCAGGAAAACATTTTTCAGGAAAATGACTTCCGAAAAAATATTTTCCAAAATGAGAATATTTTCCGTCAAACGAATGGAGCCTAAATGACAGAAGAAGAAGAGAAGAAAAGAGATCAGATTACAGAGGGAGAGACAGCCCTCCTTGCTCATATCTCTCGTCAAGGGGCGAGGGAAACAGGAAGGAAGGAAAGGAAAAAGGAGAGCACGCGCGCCCCGAGCTCTCGAGTCAAATCAACTTCGTTTGCTAGTGCCTGATAAGGATTCAAACTCCTCCTTCATTTAATCGAAATTAAATCTAGAGTTAGGTAAATTTTGAATTGTGAGACCCGATTTTGAAGTTGTTAAGTTGTGAAATTTCATGTAAATCATGAATTAGGGAGAGTGGAGCTATGATTTGACGGGAGTCGATTTGAAGTAACGACTTAGTTGGATGCGAAATTTCAGAATTTCGCGTGCGAGCTCCGTGTAGCATATAGCTTTAAATAATCGCTTTAGACAAATCATTTGTTGACGTGTAGGAGATATTTTGTTAACAATTAAGCTTAATTTAGCCGATTCGTGATTGAGATATTATTTTACTTGATTTTGTCGTCCATTCTCTCTCTCTCTCTCTCGCTTTCTTCTCCTCCTCTTCTTCTTCTTTAGTTATTTAATATTGTTGTCCCCACCTTTATTGACCAGGACTAAGACTCCGTTTGTTTCGTGAAAAATAACTTTTCGAAAAAACGTTTTCTGGATTTTTCGGTGTTCGTTTCTCGGAAAATAACTTCCCACGAAAAAAATTTTCCTTCCTATGGATAAAATACCTTCACTTTTGAGGAAAATGACTTCCTCTTTTTCAAAAAAAGAAAACATTTTCCTCCTCCTCCTTCTTCTTCTTTCACCATTTATTTTCAATATTTTTTTCCTTTTTCTTCTTCTTCCTCAGCCGGTCGCCGACCACCGCCGTGGCCGGACACTTGCCGGAGAAGAAGAAGAAGGAAAAAGAATAAAAAGAAAAAAAAAGAAAATTAAAAATATTTTTAAAAAATAAGAAATTAAAAAAATAATAAAAGTATTGCAAGGAGGAAAATCTTTTCCACACTGAAGAACGAAAAATATTTTCTGAGACTTTTTCAGATTTCAGCCAAACACTGGAAAATTGTGTCATTTTCTAGGAAAATGACTTCTTCGAAAATATTTTCCAGAAACGAACGGAGCTTAAGTCTTATACTCCTTTCTTTTTTTTTTCTTTTTGCTTTTTCCCCTCCTCTTCTAGCCATTACCGAAGCCCAGCGAATGGCGGAGGAAAATAGGGGAAAAAGAGAAAAGAGAAAGGAAAGAAAAAAATAGAAAAAAATTATAGAAAAAACGTCCCCATCGGTGTTGATGCCATGCCACGTAGGACGATTAGTGTTGACTGAATTGCCACGTCAGCAATCGGTTAAAATTAACTTGGAAGACTATATTGTTAAATTGTTATTAGATTTAGGACTAAATTGACATAATTAAAAATTTTAGAATTGAATTTGTCGTCGTGCAATATATTTATGACTTTTTGAACAATTTTCCCTTTTAACCGGTCAATCATGACGTTAAAACACAATTTGCAGCGTCACGGGAATAGGTACAGGAGCGCGTTGCAGGTTTTAGTAACCGTGGTCCGCAATAGAAATTCGTGCAATCTGAAGTATGAATAAAGAAAGAAGGTTTGAGATTAGCTTTTGTTCTCATTATTTCCAGAAGGTCGACTTCGTCAACAAAATTGCTGCAAATCTAACTGAAAGTGAACTAGTTCATGTTAAATTTGCATAAGCACATGTCAAAATGGCCACGACCCAATTCCATGAACGGGGAAGTTTCGTCACTCAATTCGTCTCGTATTTGCTTGATCTCACAATCATTTCGGTGATTGTTTTCACACGTTGATGCTTATATAATTAATATCGGTGCATGTTCGATTTGGTCTAGGATATCATATTCGTGGGACCCAGCGATTTATGTGCGACCTGTGGCCCACGCCTCTTGACGGGATTCCAGTATTATACGTGAATATATGATCCCACTACTTCCCACTTTCCTCGTAAAAGCTAGAAAGAGCCAATTAGCCTCATCCAGCTTTTTCGTTTATTAGATGAATACAAAACATG